ACCGTTATCATCACCACCACCACCACCACCAATTATCAACTATTTTCCCATTGCACCACCAACAATCTCTCCCTCCTCCACCACCATCACCCCCTTCCCCTGCACCACCATCCCCTGCACCACCATCACCCCCCATCACCCCTCCCTGCACCACCATCACCCCCTGCACCACCATCACCCTCCCCTGCACCACCATGCACCCCATCACCCCTCCCTGCACCACCATCACCCCTCCCCTGCACCACCACCACCCCTCCCCTGCACCACCATCACCCCCTCCCCTGCACCACCATCACCCTCCCCTGCACCACCCATCACCACCCACCCCCCCCCTGCACCACCATCACCCTCCCCTGCACCCACCATCCCTCCCCTGCACCACCATCACCCCCCACTGCACCACCATCACCCTCCCACTGCACCACCATCACCCTCCCACTGCACCACCATCACCCTCCCACCACCATCACCCCTCCCACTGCATCATCATCACCCCTCCCCTACCACCATCACCCTGCTCCACCATCACCCTCCCCTACCACCATCACACCATCACCCCCTACCACCATCACCCTGCTCCACCCATCCACCATCACCCCCTCCACCTCCATCACCTCCCCCTCCACCACCATCACCCTCCACCTCCATCACCTCCATCACCACCCACCTCCTCCCTGCTCCACCTCCAGCACCCTCCCTTCTCCACCACAAGTAATGGACCACGATGAGGTGATTAATGTTAATGATGGAGGTAAATGTCATCCATACGACGACAATTAGTGGGGAGGTGAGGTGATGGATGCAGTGGATGACTCTCTCTCTCTCTCCTCCCTTCTATCTCACCTCCCCCCTTCCCTTCTTTTTCTCCCTATCCTTCACATCCCATTCTACTATTCCCCACCTCCTCCTCGGGTCAATGAAGCAAGGGCGGGGAACAGGGTCGTCGGGCGGGGACGGGGCTAAAGGAAGGTTCAACAAGACAGCCGCGGAACCCTTCAATCACCACCACACGCACTGGACCAGCTCGCCACCGCCACCAATTACTCTGGAAATTATCCCGGGTTTAAGAAGATGTAATTGAAACATACGAGGCAAGTGTGACCATTATTACCCCGAGATGTATGAACGTGGTGCAGGGTGGAAAGGTCTCGTGGTACTGCCGTGTGTGTGTGTGTGTGTGTGTGTGTGTGTGTGTGTGTGTGTGTGTGTCTGTGTGTGTGTGTGTGTGTAACGTGTGAGTCTGCGTGTGTGTCTTGTAACGTGTGAGTCTGCTGTGTGTGTGTGTGTGTGTGAGTCTGTGTGTGTGTGTGTGTGTGTGTGTGTGTGTGTGTGTCTTGTAACGTGAGTCATTGTTTCATCATCACCTGAGAGAGCAGCACAACCCCCCACCCTCTCCCACCTTCCCCAACCTGCACCCCCACGACATACAGTACATCCCTTCCACCCCACCCCCAAGATCCATACCCACGATCCATATCTCCATCCACCACGACCCATACCCTCCCACCACCCATACCCTCCCACCACGACCCATACCTCCACCACGGCCCACTCCACCATGACCCATACCCTCCCACGACCCATTACACCTACGACCCACACCATCCCCCCAACAGCTTGTTTCCCTTGTAATGATTGCCCCCCCCCTTAAGATTAAGTTAACTATGCTTAATGATAACTTAACCTAACTTAATCTGACCTAATGTAATTTAACAAAAACAAGCTAACTAAATTTAACTCAGTGTAATATAGCTTAACCTCCTGTAACACTCACCTAACCTAACCTAACCCAATCTAACAATAACTTCTAACCTAACCCTAAGCCAGTCACTTTATATGACCAATTAAATAGATGCGTTTTATACTTCAGGTGTCCAGAGAATTTTGGAGGCATCTGTACACTTAGATTGGAATTATTGGAGGGCCGTCTGGAGGAGGGCAATGGCGTGTGCTGGAGACATACACGAACGGAAATGACTGTCACACACACACACACACACAGAAATACAGAGAGACAGAGGCTCAAGGTGCCACTGTAGGGTCGTGGGGTGCCACTGGATGGTCAAGGTGCCATCGGAGGGTCACTGGTGCCACTGGAGAGTCGGGGGTGCCACTGTCGATGTCACTGGAGGGTCGGGGTACCACCGGGGGTCTCGACAAGGTGTGTCTGGAGGGTCAAGGTGCCACTGGAGGATCAGGGTGCCATTGGAGAGTCTCGGGTGTAAGTGGAGGGTCAGGGTGCCATTGGAGGGTCATGGAGTGCCACTGGAGGGTCAAGGTGGCACTGGAGGGTCAGGAAGTGCCACTGGAGGGTCGGGAGTGCCACTGGATGGTCAGGGTGCCACTGGAGGGACGGGGGTGCCGGCTGCCCTACTGATACAAGCCTCTAATTAGCGGATGTCAGCAGGGGGAGAGTCTGACAACTTACACTAATGATTATATTAATTATGATTCTATTTTTTAATTCCTGACAGAAAAAGACGTAAATGTAATACTGTTTTTTTCTTTGTTTGTGAATTATAGTATTAAAGAAGGTATTATTATTATTATTATTATTATTTTATTTTCAATCTTACTTCTTCTTTTATGATGATTTGTATAAGAGATAAATATTATTGTATTGTTTATATTTATTAGTATTTGTTGACTCTTATATCTTGGCATATATGAAGTACCCATTATTGAACCTTAGAGCATAGTTCATTATTATGTAAAAAAAAGGAGAATTTGCGTTTTATTTAAGGTACATTAATGTAAATCTTCTCCAGCGTCCTCAAGAAGGTAAAAACCGGTTGTTATTCTTGTTAATCTCTCTTAAGGGGGAAAAAAATGTTCACTGATAAAGAGAGGTTGTGTAAAGTGTGTATCAACTCTGTTATTATACTGGTAATTATACGAGGATTAACTTGGTAGGCACTCAGAGATCGTGTAGGGCGAGGGGCCAGGGAGAGGAGTGGGGAGGGTTGTGTGATGGAGGGAGGGGTGTGAAGGAAGAGGAGGTTGTGGGATGGAGGGTAGGGGTGGGGAGGAAGATGGAAGGGGGCTTTGTGTCAGGGAGGGAGGGTGAGGGGAGGTTTGCAGAATGAGGAGAGGGTAATGGTTTAGGGTGGGGAGTAAGGACTGGAAGGGTGAGGGTGATTGTGCATGCTGGGGGAGGGGTGGTGGTGGTGCAGGCTTGGGAGGGTGATGACAGGAGGAGGGAGGGATGATAGATAGAAGGGTGGGAGAGAGGGAGGCATGAGGATAAGAGGGGAAGAGACAGAGAGATAGTAAAATTGGTGTAGCCATTACTTCCACTACTACAGTAAGCGACTCTCGTGGACGATGGATCATGCATAAACTCCTCCTCCTTCCTCCTCCTCCTCCTCCTCCTCCTCCTCCTCCTCCTCCTCCTCCTCCTCCTCCTCCTCCTCCTCCTCCTCCTCCTCCTCTTCCTCCTCCTCCATTCTTCCTCCTCCTCCTCCTCCTCTTCCTCCTATTCTTCTACCTCCTCCTCCTCCTCCTCCTCCTCCTCCTCCTCCACCAGTCTATATAAGAGATCAAGTCCTTCAGTAAACACGACTTGCTTATCACTTTACACTCGGCTAATCTTGTTGGCTCTACCTTCAGGTGCTGCTGTGTCGCGCCCCACCACCTGATGATTTCTTCTTCATTACGTGGTCGTTGTCGTCTCTGTTGTCGTCTTATTTTAAGTGTTTTTGTCTAAGTCGAGAGGAAGTCACTTGTTTTTGTCTAAGTCGAGAGGAAGTCACTTGTTTTTGTCTAAGTCGAGAGGAAGTCACGTGTTTGGTGTATAGTTTGAGACGAAGTCAATTTTTTTTTATGGGGGCGATGAATTTCTATCGAAGTAAATGCCCTTTCTCCCAAAAAAAATGCCTCCTCACCCTAAAATGCCCCCCCCCACCCTCCCAAATGCCCCACCCATAGAACAAGTATCGAATTAAAAATAAATAAATAAAAATGTCGTGGTTGTGTTAGCACAGTTAGTGTATTTATGCCAGTCTCTGTAGGATGTGTTGGCCATAGAACTATCCTGAAATAGGTTGGTTTATGCCTTGACATCCTGTGCTGCTCGTAAGGATTTGTGTGTGAGGAAGGAACCACTCTGTGCCTCCCTCCACCCAGCCCACTCTTCCACCCTCAACCACTCCTCCACCCTCAACCACTCCTCCACCCACAACCACTAGTCCTCCACCCTTCACCATGCCTCTAGCCCCCCACCCCCGCTCAACCCTCCACACCTCAGTTATCCCTCAGCACTCTTTTTCCATTCCACTTCCCGTCCACCCACGTTCCAGATCCTCCACCCTCAACCATACTTGTAGCCTCCACCCGCCGCCCACGCCTAGACCCTCAACCATCCTCCTATGACACACACACACAGTCATTATTCACACTTTGTCGACGTATTCAGTTGACGCTGAAAGCCCAAGAATAGCGGCGTCCGAAGCCCGCCACACCGCGCCACCACCTGGCAACAGCGGCTCCACATTGCACAGTTTTGGACAAAGCCTCCAGCAGCTAACGTTGGGGGTAGAAGTATTTTGGGTATTATTTTTTTTTGTCATTTTTTATTTCTATATTCATGATTTAATTTTTTTTTCAGTTTACTGTATTTTTTTTTTTTAATTTGACTTTTTCAGTTTAAGGATTTTTGTTCTAATTTATGTTTTTATTTTTAAAGGGTACAATATTTTTTTTTCTAAGCATATGTTTTATTTTTTTTGTAACTGTATTGTGATTTGGATTTGTTTGTTTGAGGTGATATTATTTTTAAGCTTTTTATTTTATTTTATTTTATTTGTTTTCCTCTTCCTGTTCGTCCGGTGTTGATGGTAGTTGTTGTCACCTGTTTGGGCCAGAGTGTTGGCTGATGGTCCTCCTAGCCAAGGTGTGACGTATAGCAGGTGTGTCACAGGTAAAACACACACACACACAAAGATAAACACGAAGGAGGGAAGGAAGGAAGGAAGGACGGACGGGGAAAAAAAAACTCAAGCCATATTTAATTTAGTTTATTTTACAAATCTTTGGTACATCGCCTTAACTTTACACAATTAATATATTATGAGTATTTACACACAAAAGAATATTAATAAAAGAAGAAGAGTCTGGAAGGTGGGGGGTGGGGTGGAGGAGGGGGTTTAATCTCTCTACATAGGCTTTGGTATATAATACATTTGACTAGGTAATGCTGCTTCGTCCTCACCTGCCACAGTCTGTCAGGTAAAATTCCTTTTTTTTTATATCCACAAAAAAAAACCCCTAAAATACCTCTGTTGTTTGTATGACAGATGAAGACGTTCGTGAATGCAGTTAAATATGGTTTTCAGATTCGCTTTTGTTTAGACGGAAAAATATATGTGAAAAATGGTGTTCAAATCCCCTATATTAAATGTGATAGAGGATTGAATCTTTCTCTCTTGTTTTTTTTTTTAATTTGTTTCGTGATGGTTTTTATTTATTTATTTATTCAGGATGATGTTTTTTTTGTTTGTTTGTTGGAGCATTAAGTGACCTAGTGTTTGATCACCCGAGAGATGTGGATATATATATATACTGTACAATGGATCAGCTGTTTGTCATCATCACAACAACACTTACCAGGTGACCACAGGTGAGACACACACACACACACACACACACACACACACACACACATGAGAGCACATAAAATATACAGTTTGTTTAGCCACTGGATGATTGATATAATGGGAGGTGAAGGGGACTGATGAGTGAGGGTCTAATAACGTCCTGTACACCTGGTCTATCAACCCCTCAGGTGTGTGTGAGTGAGTGATAACCGCAGAGGCAACAAACTCATTATTGGCTGTGATTGAAACAAGTAATGACATCAATTAGTATCTCATATAAATTACATAAAATAATCCATCCTCTCTCTCTCTCTTTCTCTCATAAATATACAGATGCACATAATTGGATGAAACGTGTCACTCATACAGTATAACTTCCCGTGTGTCTGTGTTACATATATACGTATATAACAAGGAAATACACGGACACATTCAGTATATTTTCTTCATCAGAGTGGGTATATTGGGGATCCGGTTCAATTGGGGTTCCTATAGTTGGCACGACGCAGTTTATGATCCTGCTACTGTCTGTGTGTGTGTATAGGAGACGGTGGTGATGTCTATTAATGGACCCCCCTATAAGTGTCAGGTTCTTGCCAATAAGGAAACGTGATTCTTATATGATTTTAATAAGAGATCACTTTACAGAGTCTAGAGTTGGCAGCTGGAGGGACATTTGATTTGAAGGTCCTACACACACACACACACACACACACACACACACACACACACACACACCATTAAACAGTAACCGTGCCACCACAACTGTAAAATAATAATACAACCTCATGAACTCTCTCTCCCTGAATGAAACTGAAGTTGGCTGGCTGGCTGAGGGCGGCACACGATGGTGATGCCATATGACCCTCGTCTGTACATGTAGCAAGAGGAGATGAGAGTCAGGTATACGCACTCGCACAATGGCTGGGGATGCTGTAGGGGGCGTCTCAGGGTGGCCCATATACCTTCATCACCTTTACCTAACCAACAGTAAAAAAAAAAAAACTCTTTATCGATATATCACAAAATACTTACTCTAGTTTCTCACGGTGGAGTGGAGTGTCGATTTTATTAATTTGTTTTTCGTTTTTCACATTAATCTCAACTGTAGTATAATGAATGTTGTAAGTTGAGAGGATGTGTTGGGGAAATGTGTAAAAGTATATAATATGTGGAATGTTGTTATTATTGTTATTTACTGTTTTCGTTGTTTACTTGTTGTAGTTTTTCGTAATCTTGGCCTTTTTTTCATCTCTCTCCTTCTCCTTCTTTCTCATTTCATTTCCTCCTTTATTGAGGCTTTTTTTACCTTGTTCCACACCATAAGGACTAAATCAAGTGTGTGTGTGTACGTCTTTTAAGTCAGATATCTGGTTTTTCCTTTTTCTTTGGTTAAAAAAAAGAAATTCACCCGCTAGTCTCAAACATATCGGACACCTTGAATATCCACGGAAGAGAAATGCACTGAACAAGATGAACTATTTTTAGCAAACTGAATATGTAGGCGTTGGATCTTGAGTCACATGAGTTAATTGTTTTTTTTTTCATTGGTCAAATAAATAGATGTACACGCAGCACTGAACAAGGTAGGTAGATGGTTTTAGTAAAGTGTATATGTAATTACAACGAAAAATACTCACACTTATACGTTTTTAATCACCATACGTTTATAATCATCATGAAAGAGAGTAATTATCCCTCATTGTTAAAGACGTTTATGACATTTCTGTAAAAAAAAAAAATAAGTTAGATGAAGTTACACGGAGTAATTGTCGCCAGTGTTCATAGCTGCCAAGTCGTATCACCTGTACCTGGGGGAAGGTAATTACGTTGCTTCCCTGTGTCTGTTTCTTTGTTTATGATGATTTAAGTTTGAATATACGGACACATGTAGTTACTTTGAGTGAAGACGTAGCCACTCTATATTTACATTTTTGTATACGAGTTTTGAGTATTTACATATATCTGCATTATGTATTTGTAATTATATTTTCAATTTGAATTTTGGTAAATATGTAACTATTTTTTGTTTGTAGAATTTGGGTGTGAATGTGTTTGTTGATATTGAATTAGAATTTACATTTAATTCTCATTCTATAATTTAACTTTCAACACAAACTTAATTATTTTTTTTTTTAGGAATTAGTAAAGAGGACATTGACTCTTGTGTTGTGGGGTGAGAGCGAGACACAACCAAACAAAAGGCTCTTGGTGTGGAACAAACACATGAGACAAAACATAAAACAAATAAACACGTTCTTGTCTGTGTGTTCCAATGATTGAGTGACTTCGTTTTAACTTTATGGATCTGGTATGTTGATTAGAGGTTTGACGAGACACTGTCCGGGCAGTACTTATAGGTAACACCTGGGCAGTACCTGGGTAACTCTGCTTAGTACCTGGGCCACACCTGGGCAGTACCTGGGTCACACCTGGCAGAAAAGTCTTCATCACTCCCCGGAGAATTTGGTGTGTTGAGCAACAAGGTGTAGACGCCGGTGAGAGCGACAGGATCGGCTCGTTGTGTGTCTTGGGTGCAGCGTTTGTCTCCTCTTGCGGTAATAAAGCTTATATAGTTATCATATGACAGTCAGCAATGATGATTACCTGACGGGGCCCGGCACCTCACCTCCTCCTCCTCTAGGTTACCTCACACTCCAGAGGGTCGGTCGTTTTCATGTCGAGGACCCTCCAGCGATCGTCCTTGAGGTCTCCTGTTTGTGTACCACTTTTGTGCTAGTTCAGCAAGGTAATTTTGTCATCAGAACTGTCTTGAGTGGGTGAGGGGGGGTGGGAGGGAGGGGGGGGGGGAAGAAACAAAGGTAGTAAGTGCCTAGAATGGTATATGTGAAATAAGTTTTCTTCCATTTAATAAAGTTGACCTGCAAGGTGAGAGTTGTCCCTCATGATGATCAAGACTATGATGGTGCAGCCCAGCACTACTTGGGGCTCACTTAATATTTACTGTACATTGTTCATGACCTTCGTGTTAAACACCTAAGACTTCTTCCCCCTCTCCCCGCCCCTCACTACCCTCCCTTAATGATGTGTCCTTCTTACTGGCACATGTCCGTGAACTGGAGTGACTGGCTGCCTTCATCCCCGGAGGACATGGCGTAGATGTCGGTGAGGCCGGGTCCCAGGGAGTCCACGGGTCGGAGGTCTCCCAGGAGTCCCGACTGGTCCTTCAGCTTATCCCCGACGTGCCTCTCGTGCTCCTGCTTCAGGATGTTCCTCCGCCACTTGGCCCGAGCGTTCTGGAACCACACCTGTGGATAAAAAACGTAGTGGTGGTGGTGGTGGTGTTGGTGGTCGTGCAAGGTGGATGGTGGTGGTTCACGAGCCTGGCTGAAGCTGGTTGGACCCCAAAAGGCCCCCCAACGTGTGTATTCAGTAGCTCATGTCATACTCAACGTCATTTCCTAAAAGAAGAAAAATAGGCTAGTGGAGGAACGCTGTCTACTGTGATCATTTTGCCAATTATAAAGCACATTGTCACGCTAGCTGGAGGTGAAGGTGAGGGCCCTCTCTCTCTACCACTGACCCTATAACTAACTCTGGGTGATGATGGATGATGGTGATAGATAGGTCTTGAGAAGTTAACACTCTCACTGAACGCTACCTTAACACACCCTGACAAGACACTCATGTGTTATGTGTGCTGTGTCCTCTTAAACCACGCACTCACCTGCAACACTCTCTTGGACAGTCCCGTCTTCTGCGCCAGCTGTTTGAGGTCCTTGGCGTCAGGATTCTGGTTGAGGTTGAAATAGGACTTCATGGTTCTCAGTTGATGGTGCTTGAAGGAGGTTCTCATACGCTTGGTGCGGTTCTGGCCGGGCCCTTGGTGGTCGTAGCGGTAACCGTCCATAGACATCTCCCCTCCAGGCACCAGTTCTGACCAGGAGACAAAACACGACAACATGACACACTGGCAGTAACATAGACAAGAGAATTATACAACATGACACACTGACAGTAACATAGACAAGAGAATTATACAACATGACACACTGACAGGAACATAGACAAGAGAATTATACAACATGACACACTGACAGTAACATAGACAAGAGAATTATACAACATGACACACACATAGACAAGAGAATTATACAACATGACAACATAGACAAGAGAATTATACAACATGTAACATAGACAAGAGAATTATACAACATGACACACTGACAGTAACATAGACAAGAGAATTATACAACATGACACACATACAACATGACAGGAACATAGACAAGAGAATTATACAACATGACACACTGACAGAACATAGACAAGAGAATTATACAACATGACACACTGACAGGAACATAGACAAGAGAATTATACAACATGACACATACAGTAACATGACAACACTGTATCAACAGTAACATAGACAAGAGAATTATACAACATGACACACTGGCAGGAACATAGACAAGAGAATTATACAACATGACACACTGACAGTAACATAGACAAGAGAATTATACAACATGACACACATGACACACCGGCAGTAACGGATAATTATATACATCGGGTAATACTATAATCGTGTACTGTATAACTATCACCTCCCCCCCCCGACTTACACACACACACACACACGTTATATAGCGTCATATAATCTAGCCTTGTTCTGTTCTCGTGTCTTGGTCGTTCGTGTGACGTGGTGGGGTAGTCTTTAAAATGTTACCATAATCATATTAAGTTAACCCCTTGACTACGATGACTTAACCCCTTTGACTACGATGACTTAACCCCTTGGCTACGATGACTTAACCCCTTGACTACGATGACTTAACCCCTTGACTACGATGACTTAACCCCTTGACTACGATGACTTAACCCCTTGAATATGATAACTTAACCCCTTGACTACGATGACTTAACCCCTTGACTACGATGACTTAACTCCTTGACTTCGTGACCTTGCTTGGTTTACGATGACTTAACCCTTGGCTACGGTAACCAACCCCTTGGTTACGATGAAACAACCCTTGGCTGGTAAGCAACCCCTTGGTTGCGATGGCTTAACCCGCTTGGCGATGACAACGCCGGCTGATGACAACCCCGCCGGCTACGATGACAACGCTTGGTTACGATGACAACGCCAGCCGACAACGCTTGGTTACGTTGACCTTCCCCTTGACTACAGTGACGCTTATGGACTTAACCCCTTGGCTACAATGACTTAACCCCTTGGTTACGATGACTTAACCCCTTGGCTACGATGACTTAACCTCTTATCTATTGGTATTTTGTTCATCTGTCTCGTGTATTGGTAATAATAATAATAATTAATGGTTTATTGAAAAAGTTCTGCAGCCCGAAGGCTGAAAATATACATTGGTCATAAATGACTTATTACATACATTGGTGGTTTAACAAAAGTCTGGTGGTGTGTGTGTGGGTATGGCGGTAGTGGTGTGGATGAGGCTGGATGGATGAGGGTAGCCGTGACTACGGCCTCGATTACAGGCATACAATAATAAAACACACACACACACACACACACACACACACACACATTGGCTCATGGTGGGACGGGGTTGGTCGGGGCAGTGGGCGGGGTGAGTTGGGGCGGGGGTAGAACGGGGCACAAAGACTTTTCTCAACACACACACACACACACACACGCAAGAATTCTGGAAGTATAATAGTGTGCAGGGCCGCAGGATAGCACCACACGGGTATACAATGTGAATATTCCTCGAACCATTATTACTGTGAGTTGCTTTTTATTTCTTTTTTCTTCTAAGAATTGTGCTCCGAGACCTTTTGTTTGTTTACTTTTACTACCACATTACTGAAAAAATTGTCGTGTAGTCAACTGTTTATGTATATTGTCACGCGTGTGTGTTTGTCGTGTTCCGAGAAGCAGTGCGTGTGGGCGCTTGTGAGTTGGAGTTAATTCTCTCTCTCTCTCTCTCTCTCTCTCTCTCTCTCTCTCTCTCTCTCTCTTGAGGACAATATAATGGATCACCTGAAGATTAGCCCCCCTCCAAGTTTACTTTTATTTGATGGTTAAATAAACACTTTATAACCATATACCTGGGAGGTGGGGATTAGGTTAGGTTAGGTTTGGACTAGGTTAGGTTAGTGTAATCTTCAGGTGAAATTAGCTGGGGTTCCTAACTCTTCAGGTGATACCAAATTCACTTCTCCTCAGCCACGTGTAATAAATTGTTATCTTGTTCTTGTTGTTCACTTGTGGTAGAACAAAGACCTGCGTGTGTTCATTTGCATGTTAATTAATTGTTCTTAGTTTTGCCATATGCATTGTTAGCTTAATACTAGTCCACTATTTTACGGACGACCCCACTTTACGGACGACCCCACTTAACGGACGACCCCACCCTACGGACAACCCTACCCTACGGACGACTCCACCCTACGTACAGCCCCACCCTACCCATGTACGCCTCCACCACCCCACGGACGCCCCCAACCCTCTTAAGGACGCCCCAATCACCTTCAAAGATACCCTACTACCCTACGGACGTCCCCAACCCCCCTTAAATGACAACCCCTACCCCCACAAGGACCTCCCTCCCCCCAAGGACATCCCCCCCAAGGACCTTCCCCCCCTCCTCCCCTATGTAGGAATAAGTCAACAGCAGCACCAATGTTGTATGTTTTCTTATCTAAATGAGGAGCTGCCCTTCACGCTGACTCCCTGACACTACATCCTTATCAGTGGTCGCGCGGGGTGTCTACTGCGGGGGCAAGAATATGATCAGAATTAGGGAAGAAAGAGGACTTGGAGAGAATAAATATGAGAGGGAGAGATAGGAAGGACACACACTCACTCACTCACTCCTCCTCACACTCACTCACTCACTCACTCACTCACTCCTCACTCCACCCCCTCCTCCTCCCTCCCTCCACCTCCCCTCCCTCCACTCACTCTCTCACTCACCACTCCTCCACCTCCTCTTCCACCACTCCTCACCACACTCACCCTCTCCTCCACTCTCCACCACCCTCCACTCCCCTCCACTCACTCTCCTCACTCCCTCCTCCCCACTCCTCCCTCCCCACCTCCACCCTCCCCTCCTCCACCCTCTCTCCTCCCCACCACCTCTCCTCCTCCCCCCCTCCCTCTCCCTCACCACCACACTCACCACTCACACTCCTCACTCACTCTCACTCTCCTCACTCACTCTCTCTCACTCACTCACTCTGTCTCTCTATAGGAATATTTCCCCTGTGGAGCGAGCGGCGGTGTATTCATCTCCACCATCATTAGACAGATCAAGAGCAGCAGCAGGGGGGCGGGGACTCTCAGCATCACACAGCCGTCACCTAGCACAGAGCCGCCACCCTCGGCTTTGTGCACCTGATATGTGAGCCGGCTTTGGTGGTGGTGCACTCGGCTCTTCCTCCTTCTCCTCCTCCTTCTAATCCCCTCCTCAAACTCTCCTCTGCCCCTCCTCCACCAGTAACACAAGTAACATACACCCACAGGTAACATACAGATAACACAAGTAACAAAAAACTACAGGTAACACAGGTAATATAGGTAACAGATAACACAGGTAACACAAGTAACAGGTATCATAGGTAACTCACAAGTAACAGATAACACTGGTAACACAAGTAACAGGTATCATAGGTAACTCACAAGTAACACACAGGTAACAGATAACACACAGGTAACACAAGTAACACAGGTAACAGATAACACCCAGGTAACACAAGTAACACACAGGTAACAGATAACACCCAGGTAACACAAGTAACACACAGGTACCTCAAGTAACAAGTATCATAGGTAACTCACAAGTAACACACAGGTAACAGGTCAGACTATCCCCCCCCCCTCATTAACGCCACAGGGAATAAGAGGTCACTTAGCAACACACTCTTCTCGTCTGGGTCTCGTGTTTACCTCCGGGAGTGTTTCACCTGTCATTATCTCACCTCTTTGTACCTCCCTTCTCCTCCTCCTCTTCCTTCTTCTTCTCCTCCTCCTCCTTTCTTATTTTTGCTCTAATCTTCATCGCTTTCTTTTTCTACTTTCTTCCTTGGATTTCCTTTTAAATGTTGTTGTTGTGCTTCTTCATCTGTGTGTGTGTGTGTGTGTGTTAATTATTACCCCTCTAACAGTCTAGATTGTATGCTAGTTAACAGCCACTAATGCTCGTTTTAATGTGACAGTTTAACTCGTTGACTGTCACACACTAACTGGAGATCTGAATAGTGTCTGTTTAAAGCGATCGGAGGGGGTGGGGGTGACTGGCTCTACATTATTATTATTTATTTATTATTTATTTATTCGTATTATAACAATCTTTATATTGTGTGCCAGTTAATAGCCTTTCATACTGTTTAATGTGACAGTTTAATTCGTTTGACTGTCACATTATAACTGGTGATGTGAGTATTGTCCACTTACTCACCTGGGAACTGTTAAGTGTTTACCTGTGTACTAATGAACACCTTGGTGACAGTGATGGTGGTGTGGGAGTGTTGTTTATGTTACCGTCATCGTCTCCACCTTCCCTTCCTTTCCTTTCCCTTCACCTTCCCTTCCCTCCCCTCCCCTCCCCTCCCTTCCCCTCCCCTTCCCCTTCCCTTCATCTTAAATTTTTCTTTTACCTCACACTTCCTTCCTTTCCCTTATCCTTCCGTCTATTCTCTTCCTTCACTCCCTTCTTCCTTCTATCTCCTTCATTCTCCTTCTCTCTTCCTTCACTCCCCTCTCGCCTCTCATTCCTGCATTTCATCACTCGCTTCCTCCCTCAATTCTCCCTCCCTTCCCTCCCTCACCCTTCCCTCCTCTCCTCCCTCCCTCCTCTCACCTCCTCCACCTCTCCATTTCTTAACATAAGCATATCTGGGAGACGTCTCCACCGGTGATCTAGACCCTTTGTTGACATCAGGAGAGG